GCTGCTCTCTCAACCATTCAAACTCTTTCATCAAACCACCCTCATATTTTACTAGAAACCCTCAAACCATCTCTTACTACTACAGCCTTCACCCCTCAACAAACCACGCCAACAATACCAATATCAACTGCCCAAATGAACCCTAAACCTATTCCCACCCAAAACCCAACCAGAACCGTACCTCCAACTCCACTCCCTAAGCTGCCTACAATCAAGTCTACAAACCCTGGTTGTTACCATTGTCAAAAGGGACATTATTCTATCATGTGTCCAAATAAGAGAAAAGTGACCTTGATTGAAGATGTTATGGAACAAAAAGTTTTGAGGCAAAAACAAGTTCAAGAAGATGAGAGACCATTATTCTTGGAGCAAGAAAAGCTCATGGTCGTTAATAAACCATTGAGAATTGTGGAAGAACGAGAAAAAGAAGAAAAGCTCATGATCGCACCCAGGGATGCTTGCCACATTCTTCTAGGAAGACCATGGTTGTTTGATCAGAGAGTGCTATATGATGGCTTCAGTAACACCTTCTCATTCTTGGTGGGTAAAAAGAACATCTTTCTTATCCTTCAAATTCCATCAAATCCTCATATCCATGAACAAGCCCCTGCCCTACTCTCCATTGTTATCAAACATGAATCATCAATGCCTCGAAAGGCCAAGGAAATGATCCTCATCTGGTCCAAAGATTCACAACCACTCTCCCATCCCTTGGTTCAACCAAACTTTACCCTATGTCTTCTTGAAAATGGTCCAACCGAACCCCATTTAAGAGAACCAACCGTGGAACCTTGTTACTACTAATGGCCTTTGGTGCCAATCTTGTTGTGGATATGCAGGGATTTCAAGAAAAAAAACAAAGATGCAAGAACACTTTTTCCAAGTGTTCTATAGTTCTACCGAGGCTGCATTTTCAGCTCACCATACTCCAAGAACCCAGTGGACACATCAAGGAGTATGCCATGTTCAAAGCCAGCCCCTATTTTGAGCTTGAAGAAATGCTGAGTTTGAGGACAAACTCTTTTGAACAAGGGGAGGATGTTAGATATTCGGGAGAGTCAACGAAGACTTTCCTTAGTCCACAAAAGGAAAAACAAATCAGGAGAATGAAGCCAAAGTGTGGTGACTTTAATTGGGTTGAATTCATTCCTTTTTCCTATCTTGAAGCCCAGATCAACACCATTGTTGTCCTACATCCCACTTAGGCCGAGCCATCTAAACCTCAAAACCATCCCTAAATATTAAACTGCCTTGTCTTTTATTCCCTTTCAAATAAAGTCTTCCTCCACTTATTTTAAGTCCCTTGACTGAAAATAAGAAGAAAGCAAACCAAAAACCTTTTTTTGTTATTCTTAAACCTTTAAGTAATCAAATAATACACTTCCCCTCCTCTTCCTACATTATGGACGAAATGTCCATCTCCCTAATCCCCCCATTATCTCTTCAATGAAATAATGTATAATTGGCCAAAAGTAATGTCAAACCATAAACCAAATCAGGCCCTTGTCCCCTCATTTGGCCTAATTATATGCCCCAAAACAGGCCCCCTTTTATTCACCACCATAACCACCAAATGTGCTTCCTTGTGCTCCCCACTTTGGCCAAACAAACACCCACAAAAGGCCAAAAGAACCTGACCTGCCACCAACCATATCAACCAGCCCTTGTTCCCCACTCATGGTCTAAAGCATAAGTCCAAATTAGCCAATCAATCTCCCCCTTTTTGTTCCCCTACCTACTGGCCAAAATAACCCGACAAAACCAGCCCACATCTCTGAATTCATCCCACCATAAGGACATGAATAAATGGCTATTATTCTTAACATGTGGAAGAGGAAGTTGCTTGGTAGTTTCTTTGTAGTTACATTCAATGTATTATGTGATCCCCCCTTCCTCTTTATAAATTTGGCCATATGGCCTTTGTAAAAGACATCTTTGGAATATAAAACTTTGTTACTCTTTGAGTATTCTTAAAATAGTGTGATGCTATTTTAGCCAAATTCCTAATTCTATATCTTAAGAGTGGTTCTCTTGAGTGTGAGTTTTAGGTTCTAGTTATTTGGTTGAGTGTGTAATATCTTGATTAAATACTAGAGTTTAACCCCAAATTAATCTAGAGGTGAGCTTATCCTTTAGTATTAATTTGGCTCCAAAAGAGTGTGTTTATCTCTTATTTCTTATTTGGAATTTATCCCATCCTTTCTAAACCCATCCTTCATCCCTGATTTTCCACTCTTCTTCATAATATCAAAACGCAAAAAGAACTCCTTCACATTCCCATATTTTCATCTTGCCAATTTCCCTTCATTATTCCACAATTCCATCTCCAAAAATAACAACTTGATAAGACCCCCGGTTCACCCCTAACAGAAAACATGTTCGTCTCCCATTTTCTCCTTCATGTCGTATTTCCTCTTTTCCTTTTGAGTTATTACATACTGATTTATGGCAGTCCCCAGTCCCTAGTATTACTGGTTTCAAACATTATATGCTATTGTTAGATGATTTTTCTCACTATCTTTGGGTATTTCCTTTAAAACAAAAATCTGATGTTTATACTCATCTCACCACTTTTATTAACTATGTCAAAAATCACTTTAACATAACAATTAAAACTGTTCAATGTGACAATGGCACCGAATATCGTAACTCTCCCCTCCGCTCAATCTTCAAT